TCTCTTATGTGTACACCTTTCCGCGGTTGACAGATTACAGCCCGGAACAAACTTGCACCCTCTAACATAAAAAGCAGCTATCTGCACATACAACCGCAGCAGCACCACCCCACACCTACAATGCCAAATTACACGCTGCATGGTCGATGTTGAGTGTTCGGGGAAAGATTTTGACACTCAAGTTTAAGGAAAAGTCACAAATCTGTAAGAATAAAGTAAATGATTAACATATGCCCTCGAGCTACATAAATTCACGGACCTCAGTGTACGTCCAGAGTTCAGAAGAAGTCCGGAGCGGTGGATTTCGATGGAAATGCCACCTCCGACCTGCCCGAGCTCTGGACAAAGTCAACGAGACAAATGGCAGGGTATTTTGGAACTTTCCACAAACCTCAAACTTCGACAAAGAAATAGAGTGACGCCAAAAGCAACTTGCCCCAGGACTTCCAGCACTTCCAAGACCCGCAGACGCGGGAGGCGGAGGCGGAAGACGAGGGCAGCTCTCGGCGTCGGGCGAGTGTAGCGTCGAGATGGACGCCGCGTTTCCGAAGAGGCCACCGCCACCGCCACCGCCGTTCGTGGAGTTCGAGGTGATGCTCAGCTGGGAGGGTGCAGCAGCCACGGCAAAGGGAAGCGCGGCAGAGCCAGTGGCGATGGTTGGATCCAGGGGGAGACTGCCTCCATTGTTGTTGGATGAGGCTTTGACGAGGGGCGTTGAACGCAGGCGGAAGGTGCCAGTGTCCGAGGCGAACGAGGAGGGGGCCTGATCGGGGGTCACGACCAGCGCAGAGTGTGCCGCCTGGATCTCCTTCAGAGCCTCTTCCAGCGGACCCATTTCAGCCAAGACGCCCAGATGAGCATCCTGCGGACGCACAGGGAACCAATTGATAAAATATCCTTCAAGTATTTGACAAGGCTGAACCTCATAACGCAAGCTTGGCATTGCGCGACACCCTATTGCGACTGAGAAATTTGGTGTTCAATGCTTAAGTACTTTTGCATTATTCATGGCCTAACCTAAGACGTTTAAAAGCTTGTCGGTTTAAACGACCAGTGTGAGAAGGGGGCAAAAGAGACTTTTAGCACCGAAGCAAAACGGAGTAGCATATTGGCGTGGTGTGATTTGGCATTTACGTAGCCCAGACGCGCTAGATTTACAGGCCGTGACGGCGCGTTGCGAAAAAAAAGCAGATTCCAGACATCCGGTTATTGGGGGAGCGCTAGCAGCCAATCCGAACGGGAAGACAAAATCTAAAGTAGCCACGAGTGGATGAGTCACGCCGCGCGAAGATAGCCCACGTATCATGCGTGCGTGTGTAGGAAAGGTCAAGAGAACCATTTTAGTGAGGCACCAAATTATTAACCAAACCACGCAAAACTACGCACAAGGTAGGTTGTAGAAGTAAACGAGTGAATGGGGAGTGAGAAGGAGTGAGGACAGGGTCGTTAGTGAGGGAGGGAACAAGGAGACTCGGTTCTTCTGTAAGCGAAAACCAATTCAAAAATGAGCACAGCGGTTCCACAAGCAGCTATTCGACAGCCAATGAGAGAAGAACAAGCAAGTGGCTTCATAATTGGTCGAATTCGCCATCTGCAATCGCCCTGTCGAACACAAATCAACGTTTGGACGGCATGGCCTCCGAAAATTTACCGGATGAATCAAGGAGAAAATGATCCACATTTTGACCAGATCAACGTGCTTTCACATCTATCCCCGTGTGTGCTAAACATAACAGGCATTACACTAAGGTATGCAATCAGTGTCTTAGCGTAGATCTACGTCGAAAGGTTAGATGTGATTAATTAGGTGCTTGTCCCATCAAAGGAAGGAGTGGCAGAGGGAAATTGATACCGACTTGTGATCAAAAGTATTTGCCCAAACGCCTTGCAAGTCATGCAGACACCTTGACCCCAAAGGGGTACCCAATTGCCATGGAAAAAGCGTATTTACAATTAGCCCTGTCCTGCTCAAATCAACAAAGATCTGGGACCACCACTCCGGAAGCACACTCCACGATTGAACGGAGGGGAAATTGCAGGGGAAGGAGGGGGAGGCACGCTTCCTTTGCACACACACACACACACATACAACGAAAAAGCAACTACCCAGGAATGCAGCGAAAGTGAGGTGAGGATGGTGCTTTAAGGGGGGTTATGCATGACCTTACTGGGGACCAATCATATTCGTCCTGATGATGATGATCACATGTACTATGCAAATCTGAAGGCACGATGGACAATTAAAGTCAAGGTCAGGCTAATTTGGCGAAAAATGTACTTTTAGGTTGTTGTATCACATTCCTTGTCCAGGCAATAGTGCAAGAGAATAGATGAGCGTGGATATTTGGCGCTAACGCCCTGACTGACGAAGACTCCACAAGCACCGCGATCCGTGGGCTGCTGCTCAGGCATTTGCAGAATCACACGCTAAGTCACGTAACTCGACGACCACCTCAGCCACGAACTTCTGACACAGAAAGGCGAAATGCGCCTGTGACTGACTCAGTCGAGGCTGACAAAAGAGGATGATTAATGCAGCACCATCCGCCGCCATTCATCCACACCGTGCAAATCACATTACAAGGCGAAGAGCGCTGTCGTTTTTGCTGCGAGAGAATCGCAAAAAGCCAACTTGTTGCACACACACACACACACTGAACACGCGTTCTTCCCAGTTATGCAAGCTAACCCATCACCCTTTGTGGCCACTTATGCACGCAGTAGAAAGGAAACATTGTAAGGGGCACCAGACGAGTTGGAAAGCGGTTCACAGAGATTCGTTTTGAAAGCCCTCGTTCAACGACAACCGGGAAAAGGAAAGTAAGGAAATGGACATTGTCACGAAAGATAGTATGATGCAATCAGTAGCATTTAAGGGTGGCTGATTCGGGGACCAATCAGATGGGACTATCTCGAAGGTCGGATTGGCTCATTTCACGGGCTAACCGATCAGATATCCCAATCAACGACCTGGTGATGTGAGCGCGCGATCAGATCATTGAAGATAATCGCCCTCAGAGGATCAAACCTCGCGTAACATCTTGAAATGCTTTTGCCTAAGTAGTGCATAAGTAGTATCCACCGTTTCCATTAAAATGTCTGCATTTTGATCAATGGAAAAAAATTGGTTGGCAGGTTGATACAATTGTTTCAAGAACACACCTAAATGACAACGAAAATTTGTTTAGGCATGAAGAAACACGCATAATTTGAAGCACACATAGGGTTAATTAAGTTCTACATGGTCGCTCAGCTAGCTGCAAAAACAACTGTGTACTTGCTACTGCTGTTGTTGCCATTGGAAACGCAAAAAATTGATGCAAATTGGCAAAAAAGAAAGGAATTTTAAAGTCCCACGCCACACCACACCGAATCGGAGGTGAGAAGCGACTGGTAGGAACAGCCGAATATGCTAGAATCACACAAATGGCTCAGATCTCAAAACATCACGATGACGAGGACACGCACCGAACCTCACAGCCTGAATCGATTGGGCGTGTGGGATTCTCGCCTCTGGGTGGAAAATGCGCAGTTATCGCGTCTCGCGAACAGAAGGAAACGGCGTGGCTAAGGTTGCCACCAAGCTTATCGTAGTGTCGTCGCGTTGGAAATTTCGTGGATTCTTGGTTGCCCACGGAGACCCCGAGTCAAGACTCTATTGCAGCTGTGCCAAATTTCGGTGGAAGGAGACGCGAAGGAAAGCAAGGCCGGAACGTTGCACCGTGAGATATAATAATAACATGTATCTGGGAATGGCCATAAACCTCTATTATTCTCCCTAATTACGACTGACACAAGACTGCTTCGCATTGTGTAAAGGAGAGCCAATCACAACAGACTTCAGCCACGTACCCATCGTTGAGCTACGGAGAATGCCAAACTCACACAGACGATGCGTAATGCTTACGTGTCGTCATTTGGACATAATTAAAAATCACGGCCGAACGTTTTATGCCATTTGATGACGCGCCTCTGGACCAGCGATTCCAAGTGTAGCAATGGGTGTTGGGGCATAACAATGCGACAGTCAATTTCGCACCAGATTATCACAGATATTTAGGCGTTCGAAGTCGGCGAGAACGTCGCGCTATGCCGGTAAATCAGACGCACAAACGGAGGTGGAGGGCACACTGACGCCGAAATGGGGAACCTACCAGAACTGGGTTCAAACATGTGGAGAGTTCGGCAAATCGTCGACGCTCTTCAAGTGAAATAGCGTGCAGACAGCGCTGTTCAAGCTGGTCCAAGGCCCTCTGCTTGCAGGCGAGATCGTGCTGGGCAAAATTTATCTGCACATTCGGCGCGTCGTAGTCGTCCTTATCGAAGGCCGCCGTTAGCCCGCCTCGTTCTTGCTATTAATGGGATGAAAAATCAACCGGAATGCCGTCAGTCCACAAGACACCAGGAGAAACCATGCTCTCAGTTAGAAGGTACTAGGCTGGTGAAGTAGTGCTAATGGCTGAGACGAAGGTTAACTGCTGGTTTGATTTACCGAAATCTACTCGAAAACGGTAAAATGACGGACTGTGATAGTCTATGTTGACTTCGATGGTGTTGCGAAGAAAGACTAACACACCGCGAACAAAGATCAAAGTCAAGCGAATCACAAGTTACACGGTCTCCTACCAGCTGATCTGCGCACAGCGCGCGCAAGAGTCTAAATCATTCTACATCTTGTGTTAAAATGGAACTTAACCTTAGAAATTATTAGCAAGGCCAGTCAGATATTAAAAGTTAACGGGCAATTTTGAGAAAAATGTCTCCACCACCTAAACAGGGTTTGCTAGCAGGACATAATAACATCTAACCAGCGAAAGAGCTCTAACCAACAGTTTCGAAAGAATGGTGACTAATGGTCAAAATATCGAGTTTGGCTACCAATAACCATGCGCGTAGTCTTCGGCGAGACCACGATGTTATTTGTCTCGGTATCATGCTGTTCTATAGACGGCAAAACTACAAAGGACCCCATAATACGGACGAAGGTTTGTACTTGCACATTAAGGACTGTGTACCTTCCGTCGGAGTCGTTTTTTGCACTTCTCTGCCTCAAGCACGGCGCGCTGCAATTCTGATTTGGCCTTGCGCATTTCTTTGACACAATCGCGGTCCATCTGGTTGGCTGTGCGCCGCCATTCCTCCAGCCGGTCGGAAAGTGGAGTCACGAGGCAGTCAGTCAGTTGACTGAAAGACAAAGTATTAAGAAGCCATCCAATGAAGCAGTAAGCAAATATCCGACCTAACAGCTAATCAGATTAACCGGCATTCAAACTAGACCAACCGAATGTGCCAACTGAGGTGCAACCAACTAGTAGTGACACAGGAGGCACCGCGTAAAAGGGCCCAGTTGAGAGTCCACTACCATGAAAAAAGAGCCGAGCAATGTTGTACTACGTAAAACCACTTTCCGATTCGACATAAGGCATCTGAGAAGTGCTACCAGTGTTGCTAGGTCATTGCCATGTTTCTAGATAACAAAGCCCCAGATTAGATAGCAAACAGTAAGTGAGGCAACAAAACTTACCTGTTAAAACTCCGCAGGCGAGACTCCACGCATTTCTGGCGTAGACAGAACCGCCTCATAGCTATTCCGAACGGGCGTAACCCGGCATTGTCAGATTCTGCAATGTCGGCTATTTTTTGAAAGGCCTCCAGAAAGCCAGACACACACTGCATTGTTATACTAAGTGAGTAAAAACGCGCTACCATCAGACAAGCATTATACACAAGTCGAAATGGAACAAAAAGAGAAAACGAATGCCAAGCTAGATGTTGATGATTGAGAGGGGTGCAAAGATTTTTGTTGATGGAACAATCGACTTATTTTTACGCCATCCATTCGTGGATGCGAATAAATACTCACTTGTTTTTTTAAAAAAAGAAATGCAAAAATACACGACGCAGCATGTACTAAGTAGATTTATTTATTCGAACGATAAAAATTAATACGAAATCACAAAAGATGAACTCGCCAAAATCTTTTGGGGGATACATCTGTGAACCGGTGTTAAAAATGACTGCGAAATGCAAAATATCAGGGTAAAAACAGGACTTGTATGGATTATAATAATTTCTTCTGCAATAAAACTTGACATAAAACGTACCTTAGCGATGCGGTTAGCTTGTTGGATTTGTTAATTAGATCATCCCAAGAGGCCAAAGATGTCTAGAAATATTAAGGTCAAGTTTACTGAGTACCTTGAGATTAGACAGCTGGACAGTGAAACTGCCCGGCTCATAAGAAGGCTTCATTTATATGTGTCAACTCTCAAAAAATGGAGAAAAAGATCATTTATCTAAAAAAATAAAAAGCATCAACAATCCGAAACACAAACGCACAAGGAAAATCAAATGTGCAATCTAACCGATGTACAATGACACCCAATCAAAGGAAGACCAGTCACTGTCCAGATGCCTTAAGCCAATTAAAACCCAAAAGGATTACCCAATTGTAGGTAAGCTTGAGTAACAATTTATAATAAACTAGCTCATTTAAATAACATTCCAATTTTGCGAAAAATTATTTTGTTTGAACATTTAGGTCAAATAAAGTATCTCTAATGCCACTTTTTTTATGGAAAATAGTAAGGCAAGGACTTATTTACCGTTAGAAATAAAAACTCAAATGCACAAAATAGTTCTCATTACATTAAATAAAATCTGCTGTGATGATTCTCTGTCGGTAAATGAGCGCAATCAGAGCATGTTTATTTTGCAAGGCAGAAAAGTTATATTAAGTGAAGTTTATCAAAATTAGGCAAAAATGAACAAAGGCTGACGCCGTATAATATGTATTCTATACATTTGCATAAAGATTATTAAACATAAAATACATTGCAAGGATGGCCTAATGTGTTTGGTGCCTTCTGTCGAAGTTTTAAGGAATTGTTAGCTTTTCCAAAACCGTTACAAGAAAGAATTTCTTTCAATCGCTTCTACAACGGGGTGTTAATCGCTACTTGCATCAACCGTACAGGGTAGCTCAAATGCAGAATAACTTTGAATATCGTCAGTAAATCGATTCAGTTAATTTTAGTTTCTTAACAGAGGCGCAACGTGGTTTAATATCGAAATGTGACTTATGAGGTTTGTTTCGAACTTTTAATTTAAAATCGTATTACAGAAGTTTTGTGTTAAGGTTTTTCAAATAATGATCTCAAACCGAACGGACAACGCAAATCAAGGCGAAACCTCAAAATTTGCTTAATAATACTACGTTTACACTTCAAATATCCAAAAAAATGTTCGAAATATTTTTGAGAATGCTCAAGGAAATATATGGGGGAAATATCAAATAAAAAAAAATAAAAAAATTAAAAAAATCCAATTAATTCAGCTAAATACTACGTCATGATAATAAGTATATCTATAGTGAATTTTACCTAAAAATTAAAAATGCATCACTGGTTAATGAGTAAAACGAGGCTCTTTTGCCCTTGATTAAAAAAGCAATCTTAATCACTTGTGGAGGTCGCCATTCACGGGAGACAGGTCAAACCAATTCCTGTAATGCAACGTGGTCGAACACGCCGCAGCTGAAGTGACCATAATGCGTGCTACCTCTATATTTCATTGAACTGTGGAACCTGGGGCCAAAGTATTCCGGAAGCATCCACACAGAAATCAGCTATGCCCTTTAGCGTCGCGTCGAAATTTTTAAAAAAATTTGGAAGGCCTTTGAAACCTCAACCAAAATTTTCATTTGGAAGATCCTTGAGTTTGATGATACTACCGCTAATCTAGTATTGCCTATGTTCTATCAACAATTCCCTGAACACATTAAACTCACAGCATTGATCGGATTAAATAATTAATTAATTAGAAAAAATATGGCGACAAGTCATCTAGGAATGCCGTTATAAGTTTGCATAAGTCTTTGCTACTGAAAGGTAGTGTTAAGAGCTTCAAAATGCCATCTCAAACGACGCCGGGGCATCTGCGTTGGATCTGGCCCCATTACGCTCCCCTGATATCCACGATGATGAAGAAGACAAAAGCGTTAACTACATGGGCCAGCCAAGTTATTTTCGGTGTGACATTTTGCGCGTGTGAATTGACAACTCAGATGTGTGAAGCAGCCTGAGGCATAGACGTGCTAACAACGAGACTTGGGTGAGGGATAATCACACGAAGTGATAATCCCGTCTGGCGGCATGCTGAGAAAAGGTGGTAGGGACCGGATTAATGAGCGTGAGTAACGCGAATTCGAAACAGTCGCTAGTATGAATAGTTACGTGTGTCTAAATGATAGACTTGACGGGATACAGAACGGACAAACATTATGCAGCGACTTTCTCACATTTATAAAGATTGTAGACTTCAAGTTGTCCTACTTTCCTAATACGAAAGGCCAGCAAATTCAGGTCCTTCCTTTGCGGATTACGTAGACAAAAACGCTATGTGTTTCTATATTATGCCTAAAAAGAGGATGTTTTGATTGCAATAGGATTCTACTTAAATTTGAAATAAGTAAAACACTACTATCTGTTGCAAATATTAGGGTGATAATGATATATTAAGGTATGGTTTTGTGAATTCAAAATTTATAATGAGAGAGCATTTCAGAAGTCAGGCAAATCACTACTCAATTTATTGGTGCCTTCTTTTCCACCACACCAACGCTAAAGCACGACGCCATGTCGAAAGCAATTGTCATAGGCTTCGAAACGCAAAAGTAGTGACTTCGAACATACAGAAGCAAGTAGATAAGTGCATAGAGGCGGAGCACTGCAAAGCACCAATAATCATGCTGTTAAAACCATCCGTCTTGGATTACAACACCAACAGAAACTACTAGGCTAAAAGTTTCACCACAATTTGAAATACAAACGCTAGGCCTGGGCAGAGGAAAATCCCGGGGAACATCGACAAAACGTTTAAAATGTCGAAACAAAGATTAGAAAACTAGGGACTTTACGTTGACTCCTCAGCAATTTACCTGACACTAAATCCTCAAAGGCTCTGGCAAAGTATTGAAACACTAACATTTTACTACTAAGTGTGCCAGTGAAAAGACATTCAAAACAGACACAAGTTATAAGTCCTGCATTTATTCAGAAAATCAGCGCAAGCGTCTGGCTTCTCTCTCGGTTTCCAAAAGGACGAGGGTATCGCCTTCTCGCACAGGGCCTTTCACATTCCGAATTATACTCCGCTTGTTATCGACAAGCTCAACACGGACTTGAGTACATTGGCCTTGAGATCCAGTACGTCCGAGAATTCTGATTACCTACAGTATCCGAGAAAGCACAAACTGAGGAAGACTGAATCGAACAACACCAAACTTTAAAAAGCCTATGACAAAGTCAATCTATGTTAAAGCATGAATTGGTAAGACGAAGAGGGAATACCTATCTGACGACATCCATTTCCAACATCTTTAAAAGGGATCACATGAAAATTTGGATATAACAACACATTAACGGTGATGGAACAAACAACGACCAATAGGCAGAAGGTACAATAGCCGCATAATTAGAAAGCTGCATACCCCATGGACAAAAAATTCAAAACAAAATTAATGGTATAAAAGATAGATAAGGCAGAGCCAAAAAATGACTTACTCTAGCAGTTTGCGGCAGAGGTGCAGACTTAGTAGCATCCATCGTGCAAGACACAAAACTTTCGAAAGTGGCGGGTAAGGGTACAGTTGAGTTGTTTTAAACTCCATTAAGTTAAAGAGATTTAATCATAATTTTTGATTGCTATAAAATATAAGTATTTTAACTGAAGTTAAATTCCGCTATTAAAGCTTTTAATCATTTCGTAAAACGGTACTCGATTACATTGGCACACAAAATATCTTGTATTTAAGTAGAAAAGTACAAAATGGATAAAATCAAATTTTTTACTTATGTTTCATGCCAACTCTTAGCGCTTTTAGCAACAGAAATAGTTAGTGCCGAATACTTTTAGAATATATTTTGATTTATTCAATATTTTAGCATGTGCCTAATGTTAATCTCCAAATCGAACTTGCGAGCAAAATTTTAGTGGCATGAATGTATTCTTTTGCAATCAATAAATAATTTGTATTTTAGTTTTAAGTCCAATACAGTTATTACACAATCTCCCGTCTGGTTCTCCTTCTCCACTTTTGATCTTTTTTCTCATAAATCTCCATATATAACACAACAAAATTATAATCGGTCAAGAAATAAATTGCGCTTGAAAGCTAAATTTTATTTTGTTATGACAAGTTCTGCGCATGAAAAAAATACAATCAGCTTTTTTCAATCTAGCTTGTCAAAATATTTTCTGAATCTGCCTAGGTTGCATTTGTTACATTTCCTCTTGTAAGCTGCTTTGACCTAATCATCCGCAATATTTTTCATAAGCTATAGGGAAATCATCATATTTAGGCTTTAATATGAGTTTTCTTAATCTACCCCACATCATGCTCCATCACTCACTACAAATGACTGAGCTAAATTTCTGTTCGTTTTTTTAACATAACTAATTTAAAATGTACATTTTTAATGATAGGAATTTATGCAATCTATGTCATTATTATTTTCAGAATGGATCTATTTTAAATTAATTTTTTGTCACTGTCTAGACTCAAATAAGCCAAACAGAAAAACTTCGAGAATAGCCATGTCTACCTAACCTTCAATATGATGGTTTGGGACCCTGAATTTGCAAATAAATTTCGCGAAAATTAGAATTTTTATGAGTCTTTTCTGTGGTTTCAGGACATTTATTGTGAGTTTTTAATTCTGCAGATATTCTGGGATCAAATGTTAATGTTCAACACTTATGAAAATTTTCTTGGTAGATTTTTTGTACAAATGTTGACAGTCAAAGTGCATTTAGCCAAATGCCGAATTAAAGCCAACACTTTATCTTTGATGAAAGCTAATTTATCCCCTTAGTAATGGAGTATTGTTCTGTCCTAAAAGCGGTAAAGTTACAATGAAATAATTTAGTTTTATGGTTCTCGACTTGAAGTTTTATATTTTGAGATGAACTGTTATAAAATTTTGTGAATCAGCAACATAAGATCTACTTTTCAATCATTTAAACTCATTAAGGACTGTTTCAAATTCAATTTTAGCCCCTGTAATTTGTGTCAAACTTCGCTGAAGTTGTTAAGATCGCAATTATTAGGAAAAAAACGAAGCATTTAGTCGTAATATGTAGTCCAAACGAAATTTTGTAAAAGTAATTTTCTTTGAAATCCTTGGATTTGATTAGCTGATTAAAAAAAAATATTTTACAAATGGTTAATATGTTTTGGTGAGTCATTTGGTGCAACTACGCCTGGCGTTTTAATACGCTCGCCTCTGGTAGATGTACTGGACCCTTTTTACATGTAGCGCTCAAATGTGAATTAGTAGTTTTTAAACGATACCTCATGTAGAGCTAAAATAATGTGCTGTGATGCTTATCACTGCCTAACATATTTTAAAAAAAATATAAGTCGGGAGACGTGAGAGAGATAGACCCAGTCGTCTATTAGATGTCTCAAGTATATTTTGTAGCTGTTCTTTGTTTGTCCCGAATGAAGTTGTTGACCAATTATGTCTGGGTGATCTCGTAGAAGTACAAGTGTCTGAATGACGAGATGATTAATTTCAGTAACGTGGAGCAGCATATCCAGCTGTTCCACAGACTTAATGTGGTCGCCATGAAAGTGCGTTGACGGCGGTGGTTAATATGACTCACCACTTCTCGCTAAAAATGTTTCATATGTTATTATTTCTGCTCTGAATGAACGTTATCAAATGTCAAATAAAGATATTGCATCGAGTAGACGTTGTGACTGGGACAATTAATTGCGATTTGAGCGAATTTGGGGTCTATTTCTTAAATTTCGAAACAATTTCAAAAATACTGACTGTGCTATATGAAAACACAATGACATAAACTGTGTAGAAATTTTCGAATTAAATTAATAGTGCTTGATGAAGGCCTCTTACAGGAATGGGTTTGGTGTTCCTACAGATAACCTTACCAGCAGTATGAGTTATTCGGTTTAAGGAACAGAAAGGTCAATCATGTTCATATTCAAATGGAAATGATTCTGTAAATGGGTAAATTAACCTAACATCTGAAATGCTAAACCTTGCTATGAATTGCCACGCACGTAACGTAGTCGTCATTCACATTAATCAGACCACAATGGTCACAGATCTGATGAAATACCTCACTATAGAGAATTCGCTTGGAGGTCAAGTTGTCATGAAGGTTGGTGTGCAAGCAACACAAAACCAAAAGATAAATCATGACTGCCCTACGTGACCACCATTCATGTAACACGAGCGTACCGCATGTCTGACCAACTCGCTTCGACGTCTACCTCTGGTTTTATCTACTTTGGATTTGGATTAAACAAACACAATTCAGGTACCCTAAAAGTTTACACTTTAGTTAAATCTGGAAAAGACAAAACTTTTGTTTTTAAATAATGGTTATAAGAAACTACTCAGGAACCTAGAAATATGTGGACTTTTTTTTAAAAAAAGGACTTTGAGACTAAATATTCGAGGACCTAAAGTCAGTTTCTCCCAGGCTTCGTTTCTGCATGTTGGATGCCTATGCCGGTACCTGTGCCACCACTCGCAGACCGACAACCAACCAGGCGGAAACCTGCCAGAAACGGTGACGATCTGTTCAGGCACTCAATCTAGTCACCTACTTTACGTGACTGATAGCGTGAGAGGCCTTCGATTCCTGATCGACACTGGTGCCATGATTATGCGAAATAGGGTACTGGTGGTCAGGAACTGTGACACTATTCGGAGCTCTATAATCACCGCAAGGTCTCCGGTCTTCGAACCTTTTTCGGAACCATTCGTAAAGAGACCGCCCATGGGCTGTTGGAGGGGTGGATTATGTCAAGACGGCACACATACGCACCCTCTGATTTGGCCACTCCGAGTTTATCAGGTGCAAGCCCTCTGGCCGTTGGAGTTGTTTGTGGACCTTTAGTCATGATATGATGCATGACTTGGGGAGTAGGTTCGTGCGGCACCTGGACCACTTTTGCGATTTTGAGAATCTCCTTCTAGGGACATTCATTCCTGGTAGATTCGGGCAATGCAAGATGGAGTCCGTTGGAGCTATGGAACCCGGGACTTCTCGAATCGATATTGTTGTATTTGAATCCGAAAGACTTTGATGAGACATATTGCACCACCTGGCCCCAGCCAATCCTGTGTCTCTCTGCGTTCCAATGACATGCGTGGACGATGAGCAGCCAACCTGAGGACACGAATGAGGTGCAGTATATAATGAGCGGCGTGGCCAGAGTGGTGGACTCGGATGGAAGGCCCCTGACATTTGGCTCTGGCTTGGATTGGTCAATAAAGCCCGTTCTGTTGTACCGGTCTTTTTCCTATTAGGGTTCGTGTATTCTACAACACATTCTTCCACATACATTACACGGCCAGATTTGGAGGAGCAACTGATTGCAAATCACTCATGGTGAACCAAATTCCTCATAAATGTGGGAATATATACCACATTGCAATTGTCTGATGATGGTGTTGATTTAAAGCGCAAGTTCACCCCGCCAGCCAATCACAATGTTCGAAGAGCAGCCAATAGGATTTCAGAAGTCAACCACTGTCCATTCTTGCCTTTTCCCTCATAAACACATCTCAGGGGTTGATCAAACTTTTGTCCATCATTTATTTTGCATTTGAATATTATGTATATAGAATAATATATATGTATATATCGATAGGACATATCGTTGTTAAAGTGAGAAATAGGGGAACAATCGAGTGAGCCGGGGTCACCAGCTCGTGTGGTCGAAGAGGCGCGACGGAGGTGATGAGAAAAAGGACTTGATGTGGAATAAAATACGCACGCACACGCACACACTCGGGTTTTTGCGAAAAGAAAGGGAAGAACACGCACAATTCGCATACGTGTGATAACTGAAAAGGCCTGGGGGAAAAAATACGAGAAAAAAAGAGAGGGGCGGGGTGGGGCGAGAGGGGGACAACAAAAACTAAAAGACCGTGGCGTCTGCTGCTGCTTCCAGAGGTTCGCATTGGTATGGTGGGAAAGATCAAGGCTGCAATCGGTTTCTAAGTCATTGTCGTTTTCTTTCTTGTATTAAACAACTAAGGTGTGTGTGTGTGTGGGTGTGTGCTTGTCTAGGTGATGGGTTGGGCGCGATGATTTAATGAAAATTTATCAAAATAATAGTCTCGACTCCCTCCCTCAAGCAGAGGGGGAGGTGTTCGTGGATAAAAAGATGTTGTGGGGTGCGGGACTTAGGAGGGGCAGGGCGCGGGTACTACAGCCATCAAAAGCAGGGGCGTGGCAATGCGAGTCGTAAAAATAGCACTGAAAAGAGAGAGAGAAAAAAAAACAAACAAAACCAAGAGAGCGAGTGGCAAGTGGGGTGGGGCGGGGGGAGGCGGGGGGTTGTTCATCTGGGAACGCTGCCGAGGCTGGGAGGACGACGGTCACTAGTTGAAATCAGCGGTGGAGGCGGGCGGAGGGGGGTTCATGACCTCGACCACTACGCGCGGCGAGAGGTCGGTAAACGCGGAGTTGGCGGTGGACGTGAAACTCAATGGCGGCGGCGGCGGCGCGGGGTGCTGCTGGGAGTCACCGAGGTCCGACGCGCCGACGAGGCCGCCGCTGCTGTTCAGCATGTTCAGCGGAAGACCCGCTGGACTGGGCGAATCGGTGCCCGGGAAGAGGCTGCGCCGCAAGTAGTGCTGGCTTTGGGGTCCTACGAGGCAGGTAAGAAGGAATTAGTTTGACGCGCGGGGAAAGAAACCACACATTCAAAAGGCACTTACGGCTACAACTACTGCCGGCACGATTCGATTGCACGCCGTACTCTTGGGCCAAACTAACCAGCACGTCTAGTATGTCCGGATGGGTCTGAATTCGAGAGAGAAATTAAAACAGGCATTAGTTGGCAGAACACAACCACATGTGACTGACTACCGGCGTGATTGCTCACGTGGAAAATGGGGGAGTCGCGAAACCGCGAGGCGAGGTTCCTCAGGCCCGGGGTGTCCCTGTCGAAGAGGGGCGGTTTTGATTGGCGCCCAGTGGCACCGCCGGGCGTGAGACGGGGCGGCGGGGGGGAGGAGAAGCCGGGCACCGCGGGCACCAGGGCGGGCATCTGGCAGAGATCGGAGGGGTCCACCTGCCCCCCGTGCACCATCAACGGGCCCGGGCTCAGACTGGGCAGGGCACTGGCCGAGGCGCAGCGCTTCACGTTGCCACCGGGGGTGGACCTGTGCGATAGAGGGGGCACGGTGAGTGTTCCAACGACGTTGGCAAGGCAAACAAACAACGCGGTGCACGTACCTGAAGAAGAGGGAGTTAGCGGAGTCCATTGCGCCGGCGGTTCCGTTGATGGCGACGCCGTGGTGCTGGAGACGCTCGTGGAGCTGCTTGTAGTCGACGTAAGGGATCCCGCTGAGCGGCGGCTGGTGAGTGGTAGAGTGGTGTCGTCGCGCGACAGGTCCAGCGAATATCGTCTTCATCTCCTCGTCCTCGTCCTCCTCCGGCTTGGACGACGACTTCACGCCCTGGACGGCGCCTACCCCACCACCGCCTGCAACCTCCATGGATGGCTGTGTGGACGAGATTGTGGCTGACACCGGTGTCTGGGAAAGGCTTGTTGGTTGACCGCTGTTCACACTTCTCCCCAGTACTGGAGCTGAAGCGGTAACAGGTTATTTGAATACACAAACGCTACTCAAACTGGTGTAAGTAGCAGGTATATTTCAACTCACTGAATGGTGTGTCATGAAGGACCTTGAAAGCCGAGGGTACACCGAGCTCGTCTATGGTGGGCGTGCGTGCCTCTAACCGTTTCTTAGCAGGTTGCCGGGGTGTGGACTTGCCCGAGAGAGGCGCAGGCGGAGCTGGAGGAACAGAGGGAGGCCCGATGGGCTGGGGTGCGTAAAGTGGCTGCACGCCCGCGTGGTGGTTGCAGCCAATCAGCGCCGCTGCCGGTTGCGTGGTGAAGTGAGTCGGCAGCTGTTGCGGATCCTACGAAATGGGGCAAGATTAACACGCTTTTACTACCCAGAAGGTGACTTGGCAGAATAGAACCATCAGAACACGATGGAGGCGAGATCGACTACTTACACCAAGTTGGGCAGACGACAGGGCTTGCTTGGCGGTGGGATGCGAACCCGCGTTACTGATGGACAGGAAGACGTTGGCGTCGGGCAGGGCGGAGGAGGCTGGCGCTGCGGTCTGTGATGACGCCGAAGCCGTTGGAGGCGCAGCAGCAGAAGGGGGCGGGTCCTGCAGCATAACGGAGGACTGCGCGGGCCGCTTCATCGATCGGCGTTTAGGTGTGGCGGCGGCGGCCGCAGTCGCGGTGGTCGCCGCTGTCGCTGTTGGCGACGAGGAGGCGGCTGCGGCGGCGGCGGACGCGTTGGGGAGGAAGGCGGAGAGCTTCTGGCCGTTGTTGGTGGCCGTGAAGGGCTGCTTGATGCCCATGGCACCGGTGTCGTGGCCGCCAACGCCACTGCCATTCAGCAGACGCACCTGAAATGCGGCAGGACAGAAGCTTGTGTCGATGGTTTGGATGCTCCACACACACCTCGTGGCACACACATTTGCATGAAATTGCAAAATTTTCTCGCGTGCGCATCGCTTCGCGGGTGATAACTGCGTCAGTAGTCAGAGCGCGAACGTACACACACACACACACATTCACACTGTGACATGCATAACACATAAATCAACCCGAATCTACGTGCTTTCATTAACATCTGTCGTACAGGAGTTGCTCGACTGGATCAATCTTAACCCTACCAATGACTTAGTACGTTTGCAGGCAGCCGGGACAGTAAGCTCCCGTGTCACCCACCACCACCACCTCCGAGATCGCAGATACCGAAAACGCTGCCACGGCTGCTGGTCTGTGTTTGTGCGTGTGTGGGGGGTAAAACAGAAAGGTGCTGGTACCAGACAACTAACGCCTTTGGAACGCGACGACGAAGGACTATCGGCCTAGATGGAGGAACGGTAGACGTCCACGCTGATTCTGCGGATTATAAATCGACGTGAATCACAAGAGGCGTTGACTGCACACACACACACACCTCAAGGGTTCTTCCACGTCTACGTGAAAGTGACGCAGTCGCGATGACGCAAGACTCTGCCACCGCCGCCGCCGTTAGTGAAATGAAGGCGTGAGAGACAATAAGTCGTCGAGATAAATTACACAATCACCGATGGAGTGCGTGTGTGTGTGTGTGTGCGAGTGCGCGCGCGCACGCACACACACCGAAGAGGAACGCCTCTCAATTGATTTTGCACGCACGTAAAACACACACACACACACGGCGTGCGCGTTGCACCAGTGTGTGTGTGTGTGTGTACATGAAATGCTGGGTTGAAGAGAAGAAGGCGGTGTCGTTGGAGCCCTTTCAAACTCCACTTGCGGGCACACCTTAAGTGGTGGTAGGCTACGGCGGCGGTAAGAAAGAACCCACACACACACACACACACACACACACACACACACACACACACACTAATCTGGGTTGAGTCACAGCACAGACTTCACTGGAAAGCCGCGTCTCCGAGATGGACGCTTTCGTGGCTGCAGCACGAAGACGTCGGCTTTGATGCCTAGTTAGGGGTTAGAAATCGCACCGGAGACAAAAAAGTGCACCGGAAACGCCCGTGCGGTAGAAAGGGCGTCCAATGAGGACTTGGGTTAAGTGAAGCGGAGAGACTTGTGAGCGAGAAAGACAGCCCCCACGCAAAGGTGGTTTTGCTGAGGCTAACCGAGGTGTCGGTAGGCCACAACTGCCAATTAGTCATCCCTGAAGGCGATTATCTGTAGCCCGGCCTCATATGTATGTGTACATATATGACGCAGCAGCATTAGTCACAGCTACCACGCCACCACCTCCTCCTCCTCCTCCGCAGCCAAGACCGCTTTTCGGCCGAAAATTAGCAACCGACGGATTCTACGGTACCCGCCATCCAATCGAATTCTTGAAGAGGCCATCGACACGACAAAAGTACCCATTTCGACAGGGAAAAAGACAACAATGAAGGACAGACTCACGGGCTGTGATTGGCCGTCTGACGCGTTGATGGGTGCGGCGGCGGCGGCGGAGGAGGAGGAGAGGGGGAGGGAGGAGGTGGTGGGGGGAAGGGGGTCCTTGCGCGATAGGATGTCCTTCATGAGAGGCAAGCTCTCCGCCAGATCTCTGTCCGAGGCGTTCAGCGGAACCCGGCTCACCGACTCGCCAGCAGGAGTCAGGTTTTCTAAAATTTGAGAGAAGAAACACGCATGATGGAAATTCACCTTAAGTTGTCCCTCCCACCGACCCACCCACCCGGACAACTTCAGCTAAGATTTGCCCCCCAGACAAAGCGCTCCACACGAAGCGAATCCTTTTAGCACACATCCTCCACCACAATGAAAGTGGAGGCAGGAATACGAGGACACCCACGCACAAAGAAATTGATAAATGAGATGGAGAGGGGACAGTGGAAAAGGAAAGAATTGTGGATAGCAGCACTTAAACCACTTGACCTTCACACAACGCGCACTTGTAGGCGTCAGCACCAAGTTTGACGCTTGTCGGAGGCGTCAGAGAAGAAATGGGGCATTAGTCATGGCGTTGCAGTGTACACCACACAAGCTACAGCTGGCATGACTCATGTGCAACTGAGTCACACGGGGACTCGACAACAGGCATTGTCGAAACCTCGGCTGCGAAGACTGGCATTGCATTGTACGACGTCTTGGGGCACTCAAAAGTCACCACATCAATTAACAGCGGCTTGATAAGGAGACCAGTGCACGGCGTAGGCTGGTCGACGCCTAGGCTCCGCGATATGCGGCAGGGGGGGCGGGGACAAGGCAGAACCCCCAATTCCCCGCAGTTAATAAAAAAAACGCGACGCCGCGCTGATGGTGAATCTGAGTTTCAACTGCATCAAAAAGTTGGAATCGTTGTTACCAGAGCAACCCCTCTCCACCCCACCTCCTCCTCCACACACACACACCCCTCTAGCAAATCCACGCGGCGAAAAAAGGAGGCATGAAAGAAGCGCACGCACGCACGCCCGGGCAGGCCCAATCCCGGGAGAGTGAGACTGCGCACGTCAGGCCTTGCTTTTTTCAGTGTTTCTCGTGTGTGTGCGCACGCACGCACGCAAACCCAACAAACACCGCACACACTGACTCAACGGCGCACTGCTCGCCATGTCATTGGGTGCGCGCGCGGTACACGTAGACGCCCGCCCCCCCCGCCAGTGTGTCTGTCACGAAGGCCGCTGTCGTAGGCACAGGGAGCAAGTCACGGAGCAACTCGGCTTAATGACAGCGTGGTTGCAGGGCTTAACTGCACACGTGCCCCTGCAAGTTGCCGTGGCGCGGAGGCCAACACGAAACACTTGAGTTGGTCTCTCTCTCTCTCTCTCTCTCGAGGTCTAGAGGCGACGAAAGCGAGCAGCTGGAAACGGGTAATTCTCGCTTCAAGACCCGAAGCGAGGCGAATAACACTGGGAGACATTGTGTAACTTAGCAAGGTGATTGAGTGAAATCACATACACGCGTGCACTCACACAGGCAACGAACGCCTCCAGTAAAACGACTTCCCACAGGCAAGAAGGAGCACAACACACGCGTAGAGCAGCACAAATTAGGCGAGTCTGAAGGCCGATGATTACAGAAAACCGAACACGCAAGTAAACTGAGTACCGGGGTGAAACCCGACACCGTGCAGTGTTAATGCAGTCGAATTCGGCAAAAAAACCCAGCGAATTTCGAGGTGGCGGGTGAAGGCGTCGTGGAGTGGCGTTTGTAATGAGGTTTGCTTGGCAGAATGAGCAATTTGGTAGCCGTGGGAGCGAGTTAAGAGCGCGTGTCGCTTCTCCCAGGGTGGAGTTTACTCATGCGAGAACACTACAAAGTCGGCAATTAGGGCACTGAGGCGTGCTTGACACGAGCTTATTATAAACAAGCCAGTGGTTGAAAATTCACCCTCAAAAATAATCAACTAAGGTCTATCAGAGGGCGAAGGCAACAACAAGCAATCAATCAGGGAGACAATTATGCGAAATTTCGTGGAGCTACGGCTGTGGGTGGTTCGGCGCACCCACAGCAGTTGCAGCGGTCGCCCCCAAATAAACTAGGGGATTCGGCGGGAGGAGGTAAGTTTTGCTGAAATCGAAAAACGACGCGGAACGCCAGTACGGGGTTGACTCACACGTAGAAACACAAAAAGCGGAGGGGTCAAAAAAGGTGGACACACGGGGGCGAAAAGGGGGGAACGCTGCGACTCCCCCCCCCCTCGACCAAAGGGCCATCATGCTAACACACACACGCTGGTGAGAATTGGAAGGAAAGAAAATTTTTATTTTCCTGAGGTTCCGCGTGTTTTGTCTTTGGTTTATGCACCTCCACGTCCGTCTCCCCCCCAAACAAGTGCTTTTTCAAACGTCTACAGTAGCCAATGGAAGCCACAGAACCAACTAACCAATCGCCTTACGGCGCAGAAGGGGGCAAAATTGAACCTGGATGAAAGATCGGCGTCTCACTGATGACATCTGCAACCGTCAGAGTGTCGAGAACAGAAAGAACAGCGAAATCCACAGCCACAAATGTTTTTTTCCCAACATCCAAATTGGAAAACAGTTTTACGCGTGGGGAAACTTACTAATGGTTATTTTGACGATCAAAAAAAATACACACCGGTTGACAGACAAAGCCTGTTTGCTGAAGGGGTCAATGTGAACACATCATACCGCTGTCAATTTGACTGACTTGTTTGTCACCAACTTGCAATTGTGTGTTTCTACTTCAAAAAAAAAAAAACCAACAGCTGACTGCCTCCGTTGCAGAAACGTTGTACCAAACAGACGGCAGGAGGCAGACGCCAGATTTATGCCAAAATCCCGTGTATTTAGACTCCTAAGGTGTTCTTGATAGGAGTTTGGGAAGCTCCACGAGAGCTTGTAAAAATGCTGCTCAGTGTCCAACAAAGACCATACCGCGGCATGGTTTCGGCCGGTGTCAGGAGTTCTTCACAACCTTTTCGACAACCCTCTACGGAGAACGTAAATGTCGTTATGGACGTCAAGTCGAATCGTGTTTTACTCAAACCCCTCCCCCGAGGAACGAGGCAAGTCCAGTCTAATCAATATCGAGGTTGAGGCTTGGGTTTCCCGGCATTGGGCTGAGTGTCCATCGCGCGAAAAGGACCGGAACAGCGTAGTACCTTCGAAATGGCCCCGATGGCCTTTGACGACGTTTACATCGAGTGCTGTTGGCGTGTTTGGGGCGGGTAAAAGTTCCAGTGTGTGGTCCCCGTGCAATCAACTCAACCCAAACCGAGACAGCTGTTAAAGCGCTTGTCTAGGTGGAGGCAGTGAAGGTGTATGCTCTAGCCAATGGGCGAGGCTGAGGACACACTTCAGCAGAGTGCAATAAGTTGGCATCGAGAGAAAAAGCACAGCTAATTACCGTCCTGTGGTACGCGAGACGGCGAGCAGCAAGGCAAACTGCGAAGCCCCAGGCAACTGTGAGTCACGAAAGCGCATAATTTCACAACAAAAACGCTGATTAGCTCGACATCTTATTACTGCGAAAAGTGGTCGGGCAGAGGGGGATTTTCGCGGACAAATGAAGCAACAGATCATCCTGCGATAGCGCAAAAGAACAAGAAGTTCACTTGTCCGTGTGAGAAGCGATAACGATGACAGGGAGTAGTCCTCGTGAATTTTTTTCTCGTCTTATTTAGTGAAAAATCTGAACACGAACGCCGTGGTAATCGATGAAGCGGCACCAGAGGGGTCAGTCGGCGAAATTTGTGGATGAAAAGACGGGCTAGGGGGGGCTTTCAACAAAGCAAGATTGAATGTGAGGTCGCCTTGTTGTGAAAAAGACAAAATAAGAACAAGGATAAAGCTGACAGACGCATTCAGGACAGGTGCGCGTGACGTCAAGATGCGTGACAGGGTAATTACAGAGAAGGGGCGTTTGACGCGGCAACAGAACACCGCCACCACCACAACCCCCGTGGCAGGATGTCTCATGCTTGTTTAAAACAGAGACCGGGGCGGTCGTTTAGAAACCAATGACGGTGAAATTAAAGGCTGACAGCAGGATAATTTCTTGGGAAGAAAAACAGCGCAGTTAAGCGACAATCGCCTACACCTGGGGAAGGTTTACACAAAGATGGCAGTTCGGGGGTAACAAGTGTAAAACGCTACCCAAGTTCAAGCGAGCTTCCGCCACAAGGTGGTGGGAGCGAATGTAAAGCACGGACGACTGGCACGAGAGCAGCGAGGTCAAACAAGCCAACAGACCAGTGGATAGGTGGGACCCGAGCCTCGCCAATATCGACGTGGTCACGTGGATAATAATGGATATGGGCTTAGAAACAGACGCATGGATTTATGGTGAAGAGGATGGGGAGTGCGTGTGTGCGTGTCTGCGCACGAAATTGGGAATAAGCTGGGAGATTCATTGCCGAGATCAAAGCTTCAGCGGGAGCAACGGAGGGGGGAGGGGGCGGGGGTGTGGACGGTGGTGGTGGCGGTGGAGGTCTGCGCACAAACTTCACAGTGCATT